TCAGCTAAGACAGTTTCATTTTACTAACAGGGTAGTTGGCCTTTGGAATGGGTTGTCCCAAAATGTTATGTTAATTTACATTACTCACATAAATGAGAGAATGTTCAATACATTGCTTAAACATTCTGATTATATTAAGATATTGCTCTGTGTGGATGCTGCTGCTGCTTTCCAAAAGGATTTGAATTATTTAGTGAGTTGTGCAAATAAATTATTTGCAATAAATGAAGGTGATGCATATTGGTTGACATAATTTATTACAAATATTACTTTGATGAGAATAACTTTAACAGTGTTATAGAAGAAAAGGATCTTGCTATTTTGGTTGCTCAGTCTCATTAGCCATCTAAGCCAAAAGAGGTAATTATCTCCATACAAATAACTAGTTATGCCTCTTATGTCATTTGAAGGACAACAAGGAGCCCCTTGGACCATTGTGGCAGTCCCATTCATTTCATCCAATACCCATCTGCCTATTTCCAGCTCTAACTTGCCAAGTTCTCATTAAGCTCCTTTCTTCCCACTCCTGTTGTGTCCAATACATCTGAAGGAAATCTATTCCAATGGTAGACCATCTTGTTCAAAAATTTAAATTGTCTAACTTGCAGATGAATTCTATCCTGTCATGTGTTGAATCTATGTCTCCTAGTTGTACCACTCTTACCATTCACTGAAAAAAAATGATGTTTCAATTCTATATATTCTCTTTATAATTTTGTACATTTCAATCAGATCTTCTTTTCTCAAGATCTTTTTTTTTCCAACTGGCAACATCAAAACTGTCTGGAAGGCTTACAAGACTGACCAACACACCAAGATCTTATTTTTCCATAACACTGTTGAGTTGATTTCAATCAAAATGGTAATGATAGTTTAAATTAAATCAGACCTCTTGCATTTCCCTATACATTGCATAATTAAATGTCATATTCCATTTATTTGCCCAATTTACCAAATTATCCAAATCAATTTGTAAAACAAGAGCATCCTCTTCATAACCAACTTCATCCAAAACTTGAATGTAATCAGCAAACTTGACTAATTTATTGGTCATTTTCTTTCAATATCATTAATGTGTATCCAAAAGTGTAAAGGTCCTATCACAGAGCTTTGATATCTTACTTCGTCTTGAGAACAGTAGGGTAATAGGTGACCTTGTTGAAATTCACAAGACTTAATGTTAAGGTTTTGAAAAAAAAAAAGGCTGTGCTATGACCAGTAAGCACATTTCAGGTGTTGAATGCACACCTGTCCCTCAAATTTCAAAATTTCAGTACAAATACATTAACTTTATTTCAACCATTTTTAACTCAATAATGTTTTAAAATTTATATTTTTTAAATTTTATAATATTTATTAAATGTAGTTTGGAAAGTAAAAAGGAAAAAAATGTTTAGTTTCATTTCTTTAGAATTTTTTACACCATCTCAAAGCATGGGGTTATATTTTCTAAAAAAACTATCATGCCTTGAGAATACAATTGTTTTATCATTATATTCATTCATCCTCACCCTTTTATGATGCCATAGCATGTGTTCACAACAACTGCTAATGAATCACAGGTTTGAAAATAACTACAGCAGTAATGTGAGCAGTAATTTATGGTTTTGTGGGAAAATGAAAGACCAAGCACGTGTAAGTGTAAGGATGAAAAACATAATCTAATTAAAAGTTTAAACAATTTAGGGACAAAAAATAAATATAGTAACTTTTTCCTTAGATGTTCTTTGCATTCCTGATCATTTTTTATTGCTAAATATCTGAAATTATATGTATTAGAAAAGTATGGGAATTTTCTTCTATGACAAAAATTAGGTTTATTGAGTATGGTAGGCAGTGGCAAAATAATCCAATATCTTGTATACTTATTTATGGAATATTAATGTTTAGTTTATCATGTTCAAACAATGTACGTAAATAAGTAAAGTTATTTATTAAAAAGAAACTAAATTTAATAGATGTAACTTGATTTCAATCAAGAATATTGTAAGCAAAATTATTTTTAAATAGCCCAACAAAGGTAATGGCAATACTATTTGAAAGGTCAAATCCTAAGTCACTGATCAATTTTTGTCAGTTTTTGCTGTGTATTCATGATTTACAGACAGGGGTGGTAAATACTGCAATTGGCAAAATGAAGTTTGAAAAGAAATGTGTTATTGAAAAGCAATCAAGTTGAAACTAATTGTATATGTAAAATGGAATTTCCTGATCAAAATATTAAAAAAAAAATTGTAACGTTAGAGGAATTATTTTAATTTTTTTTTAAAAACGGTTTTCTCACAATAAAAGTTTGGAAATTTCACAATGTCAAAAATGATAGGAAAACTAAATAACATTATAATCAAATTTCTTCAGCCAAAACTGGATGCTGCTTAGTAAGTTTATTGAAATTTAATTAAATATTTTTAGTGTGAGAAGGAAAAAATCAAGGAATATCAGTGACACTCCTCTCGTACGCAAAGGATTAAAACAGTTTCATTTTTCTAATTAATAAGTGATTTGTTTATGGAATTAGTTATCATTAGCATTTGTGAAGGCTAGCACCTTACAATACATTAAGATGGGGAATCAATGTTATCCTAAAAAATTAGATTGGATTTAATTTTTACTTTTCTTTTCTTGGTGAGGTGGGTATGGAAGAATAACCTTGAAGGTCCCTTGTTGTCCAAATGTTATCTTTGGGTTGATCAAAATCTTATCTGAGTGGACTTTGTTGTTGTTTTTCCAGAGTTGCAAGAAAACAATGTTAAGCTTTATACGCTTGTAGAAGAGTTGGGGTAAGTAATCTAATTTTTTGTATCTTACAGTTTAATAATATAATTTTAGTCAACTAGTGTAATAGCATAAAAGTATTTCATGTAGAGATCTTATAATTCGGTTCCTTACATTGATTTACTGTAAACTGTCATCTATGTTGACCATTTTTGTTTTCTTACAGTGACATTAAAATGTATGCAAGAGAAACCATCCATATATTATGTTCACATGGGGGGGGGGGGGTATAGCAAGAAGAAAGGTATGCACCTTAGTTTCTAGGCTTACATTTTTTAGCAGATTTTATATCAGATAAAAAAACACATTGGTTTTGAAACAAATTAAACTTGTTATATGTCAAACCATTACTCCTTTGCTAATTATTGTCGGTTTTGATTTTGGTAGCCAATGTTATTGAATTGATAATGCTGTTTCTTATAAGCTATCCTTCTGAAATAATTCTTCTACATAAATGTATTTCTAGTTGAATATGTATCCTGGAAAGAAAGATCTGTCTTTAGTCACAGGAAAAACCAACTTGTGAAAGTGATAAGATATAATTAAGAAGAGCATGAAGACTAAAGTAGATAAGGAGAAAAAACTTGTTGTACCTAATCCATAATTAATTTTGTAAATAAATCATTGTTCATTATACTAGTCATTTTGTTAGCTATATAGCTGGAATTACAAAACTAAGCAGGCAAGTGTCATCAGTCCCTGACTACTTGCAACTGTTGCTTACTCGCACTGTAAACCCCTACTGGTAGCATTGGTGACCAGTACAAGAGATCCATGATTCTTTCAAGGGTCTCATCCAAATTCAGCAAAATCATATATGCAGAAAAGAGTGGTAACTGTGGAAAATGACTAAACATGACCAAAGTTTTTAGTAAATTAACAAACAATTATTTCTAAGCACAATAAATATCATTATGCTCACAAATACTTGCACTCATGGAGTGCGATTTATAGTACCTGGAGCATTGTATGATGGATGGCCAAGGCATTATATGTCTTCAAGATCTGGATGCTTATGGGAAAGTTTAAGCTCACTGGTTATGAGGAAAGAGGACACTATGATATCTGGATCTTGGTTGTTTGGGCCTGTCTTAGGGCATGGTTCACTGCTCTTGATGCCATTACTGCCTCTTAAAATAATCTTAACTTCCTACAATGTCTTGTTAAGTATAAGAAGGTGAATTCTGTTCTTTCAAAACCTGCATGTCAAAAAGTTGCTGGATGTCTATGTTATCTCAATGAGGAACTCATTGGTTTGGCATTCTTTGATTCAGCTGTATTCACAGAGACAAAACGAGCAATGATAAAGGCACTAACTAATAAGGAGGATATGGATGGACCTTCAAAGTGCATCCAGCTGAAAAGCAGGAAGTCTGAGAACATGTGAATTGAAAATTCTGTCACAAAGAACACAATAGACTTCTTATGTGCTGTGAAATTCCATCTGGAGTGACCTCAAATCATGGGAGCTTGGACAGGACTACATGGAAACATTACAGACAGTTCAACATTTGAATGTGGTAAATAATAATGCTGAAAGGGTTGTGGTCCTTAGTGAGGAGTATAAATCCATCATAACAAGGAACAGAAACAATTTTTTTTTCAAGTTTTGCATGATTGTAGAAGTTCCTTTTCTAACAGCAAAAAGGAAACAATGACAATGCAAGAGTGACTAATCATATAAAAATCTACAATTACATAATTATACTATTGTACATGCAATAAAATAATAATAATAATTTTCTTCAAATACATCACTTATAATACAAAACAAATAGATATTTATATCACATAGTACTCATGGTACCAGGCCACTGCAGTCTAGGACTTAAACCTCATTGGACAACCTCTTAAATTGACTGTTTTTTGTACATTAGAACAAAAATAGGGGTTGAGAGCTTTAGAATTTCTAACTTGAAATTTTACTTGCAAATAATGACTGCCCTAATTTATGAGTGTGTGTGTATGAGGTAATAACCTTTAAAACAACCATAAAATAACTTCAACTTGTTAAAACTAATATGCTTTATATTAAACTGTGTAACTGTTTTCCATTTAGTGTTGGTTGTGAAAATACTGTATGGGTTTAATTCCATGTGTATTTGTAAGCAGGTCTTATCTCACTAGCACTGACAACACAGACAGACAGAAAGGAACAAAACTGCTAGCTGATGTTCTTCATTATGTCAGAAATGGATTCTGTGTCAAAAAAAGAAGGTATTGTGCATCACATACTGTAGTAGTGTCACCATCATTTTTGAATGAATTGTATGAAGTTTTTAGTTTTGTTGAAATCAGTTTAGTAGCTTTTAGACTTGTATTTTTGAGGTAGTTTTTAGAAAAGTTTCAACTCGTTGGTTTGTACATAACGTGGACTACTTCATTGTTTCATGTAAGCACACTGTAGGAAAAAACATTAGCAGTATTAAAGATCTTAACATTTAAATAATGTGTAAGTTATTTATTAATGTGTGTATGTAAAATTTCAATGTTGAAATAGTGTTCATCTTACTATGAATTGTTATAATTTTTATTATCAGTAAAAAAAATAGTGATGGTTTCCTTTCATTTTATAAGAATTTAATTAATATTATATTGTTATAGACTTTTATTATTTCCAGTGACAATTGTTTTACACTGTTACTGTCAAATACCGTGAAACCTAATCTGTGTAATATTTATCAATGTAGAATGAGAAATCATTGAATCAAGAGTTTATTTTGATTATTTTACAGTATCAGTCTACATTTAAATGATTTACATCAAACTGCATTAAATTGTGTGTCTCACCTATGCATTTACAATTCTAATAGCATATAAGAGACATATTAGCATTAAGTTTTTAAAAATGTTTTATGGTTTGAGAAATTAATATTGGAATATTTTTTATTTTGTAAACAGTTGAAATAATTTGATATAGTATCATCTGTTTTTGCATAGAATATACTTGAATACTCTTAAATAAATGCCCCCCCCCAGTGGCACAGCAGTATGTCTGTGGACATAAAACGCTAGAATCCGGGTTTCGATACTAGTGGTGGGCAGAGCACAGATAGCCCATTGTGTAGCTTTGTGCTTAATTACAAACAAACAAAACAAAGAGACCCAGGCTCGAATTCCACTCATTACCACCATAGAACTTTTATGAAGACAGCAGCATATTAGCAGCCAAAACAAACTTAAATAAATATTCTTCTTAGAAGTGCTACTTGTTACTCCACAGAATTACTTCATGCATCTGCTAATAAGATTTTTGCACATGTCCTAAGTGAACTCCCACCCATACACATTTTAATGTGCATTGAACTAGCCTGTGATGTAATCATAATCAGACTGTAGCCCTCCACCAATAGGAGGGTGACACATCCTCCATATACAGCAAACCTAGTGAGCACTAACATATAAACAAAGGCTCATTCTTTTTCTTGGCACTGCTTTGTTCAGATTTATTTTTTCTTAAGAATTAAAGGAATTTTGAGGTTTATTATTTTCAGCTTTTATCACCACTCATAGTGTAGTCTTTCTACTCTCTATTTTCTAGTTTATGATACAGAAAGCTACCAAAGTTTTAAGCATTTAATTTAGAACTTAGTTTCAAATTATTTAAATTTGTTTTTTCATTTTCCTCAATTTTTTATTTTTGGACAAATGTACCATTGTGTGTGATAAGGTCTCTCAGACAGTACTATTTACTATTGTTTTAATACAGTGTACAAGTTTTGTTATGGACTCTTTTCTCCCAAGATGATACCACACCTCTTCACACAGTTAAGCTATCTTCCCCAGGCATCTACCTTTGATATTTGTAATTGAACCTAAGTTCACAAGGTTTTTCATGAATTGTACTACTACATAATGATGTTATCTTGCAGCAAAAGCCCTCCACCAATAGAAAAGCAACACACCTCCATGTGCACCAACTTCCAATATGCATTTGCACTCATGAATTTTCCTTTCCTTTCTCAGCACTGAACACATCAGATGTTTTTTTTCTTTTTCAATTTAATGAGAGTTGCAAAATTTAAGGAATTTGGTTTTCTTCCTTTTTTTTTCTACAAATTATGAACTCACAACTTCATGTAACATATACTACTACTTGTTTGAGTGAGCAGTTTCCTCACACAGGTAATGTATCACTATGGCTTATGGAGGTGCATTGACTGAGGATGGTGTTGTGGACATTGCACATAGAGTAGGACTTCATCTTCAGTCTCTTCTTCAAACAATCCTTCCACTCATTTTGAGGGGGAGAATAAGAAGGGTAAATTTGAATGCTTGTTTTTTCTTCCTAGTTATGCTCTAGGAACTTCTCTCTCTGTTGAAGAGAACCCTCAAATGTTCTTGCAGTATTTAGAACATTTCAAAGGTATGTATCATACTTTCATATCATATGAATCTTCTCATTCCCAACTTCTTAATTCCAACCCTAACTACTTTTCTTATAACCTATTTCTGATATTGGCATTCAAGATGATTCCTTCCTTGACCAACTATGTTTCTGCAACCTCATGCCTGGCCCTCCTTGTTTATTTGATTCTTATATCGTGGATTTCATTCATTCAGAATTCCCTTTCAGATTTCCTAATTTGGAATCTCTCTTGCATGTTTCTGGGGGGGGGGGACTATTTTATATTGGTTTCACCCTACAGTGTCCAATACTCTCATCTATGCCAGATCCTTCTTACCATAATTCTTTACCTCTACTCTCTTCACCTCAAATCTGAGGCACTATTATGTGCCCCAGAAGATTCTGCAGATGATTCTCATTTCTCTTTCTTCTCCAATATAGCCCATTCCACTTTTTACATTTCTTGCTCACTTGGCTCTTTGTTGCTGGGAATTGGATATACTCCTTTCTTAGGTTCAGCTTGTTTCTTCCTTTCTATGAGATCTTTGCCTAGCTTTTTTTTGCCCTCAATTTTCTTCCCTCTTTGCATCCCAACTGACTTCATTTCTGAGATGTACATCATTGGAATGCTTTTCTACAATTTCCCTCTTTCAGTGTTTTTTCAGGCTGTATGTTGCACCCTTTCTTTTTTTAATGGTGTATCTTATACTTTGGAATCTTAAGCTAATGCCTCCTCTCTTGTTCCTAGTCCTCTTGTTACTGTGCAATGTCTCCCTTCTTTGAGAGATGTCTGTCGTGGGTCTTGGAGGTGACTTATTTCTAGAACTGCCCTTCAACTGTGGTCTGGTAGGAGCTAAGCTTTCCCATTTTGTGCATCTGTAGACTCCCTTTGCTGTAAGCTACTACATTACATAGGTGTTTTCTCATGGGTTTTTCTTGTCCTTTCAATCTCCAATCACCCAATTAGAATTCTATGGAAAAACTCCTGAACTACATGCTGGATTTTACCCCCCATCTTATTATCATTCCCATGAAAATAGGAGATTTGTTATAATTGAACCAGCTTTGGTCAATCCATGGTTCAAGATGAATGTTTTTTCCATTCTGAGATGGATACTCTCTTGGAATGAGGATAATTGTAATCTATGTCTCAGATGTTTTCTCAATTTCCTGAATCGTCCACTAACCTTTCCCTGCAAGTGTCACTACTCTGTTCACAACTTTTCCATTCAGGTTGGCTACAAATCCTCCTGTGGATCAACAAGGAGCTTATGGACAGTGCTTAAATCTGGGGTTTGATTCCCTGTCATGGACAGAGCTCATACAGATCATTGTGTAACTTTGTGTTACATCAAACAAGCTTTGAGTTTTCAAACTGTGTGCAAAATGTAAAGTTTAATGTAAGTGTGTATGCAGTTCATTCAGTTTTTTTAAATAAACAGTGGCATAGGAAGCGGGCCCTCTACTTTTCAATCTGTCCTTGTACAGATGCATCAGAATTAGGAAAGTTACTCTCAGAAAAATGCATAAAATTTAATCCAAAACCCAAGAGTTCCAGGGCTCTAAGGTGAGCCCTGGACCATGGCTGTAATGGGTACATTTGTGGTGCACATTCACTCCATCTGATAAACCTTGGGCCCCTTCACTTTTAATTTGCCTCCTACACCTGTATATTTTCAGTCAATGTTGGTTGCATTCTTTATGCTAACTGTTCCAGAACTCTGTACATGTTTGGCCTCCACTTACCTCATACAATGTGGCATCTACTGTTGTAACCTTCCTTTCTTCTTCAGGATCTGTCTTGTTTGGGGTAGCAGCTTTGACTTTCCAATTCAGTCTTAACCCTGAGCCTGTATCTCATTCTCTTGGAGGGGTGGATCTTTATAATTTTCTATGCATGGTAGGCTCAACCTTCCTTAAATATTCAAGACATGGAGCTTCTGATATCTAGATCTTTATGTTTTCTTATTTTCCTATCTGAGAATATTTGCCTCTGTTTGAGAATTCTCTCTTAAGTCCCTTGTTTCACTTGAACATGCCCATATGCATTTCTTCAATGGACTGTGACTGATTATTGTAGTATATCTAGAGATCCACTGTCTTATCTTGTCTTTCCCTCCTCCTGTTTACCTCTTGCTTTGAGTGGTGGCTCACTCAATATCACATGACCCTGGGCATCCTTCTTCCCTACCTCACCCAGAATTACATCTGTTCAAAGTTCCAAATGGCCCAGCCTTAAGTCTGAGCCCTTATAATGCTCAAGTATTTGGGTTTTCATACCCATGGTGGATGTAGTGCAGGTGGCACATTGTGTAGCTTTGAGCTTAACATCAATGAAGCCTACAAATAAAACCTGTCAATTGGTGTGTCTCTGTTCAGGTGGGACATGGCTGTGGACACCTTCATCACTTTCATAATCTGGTCTCCAGATGCATCCTCTCTATATCAATGACCTTAAGACATTGGCTACTCAACAAATTTACCATCATTTTTTTTACTTGTCTGTCTGGTCTTCTTATTGTGATTCATTTGGACACCTCTTCTATTGTTTCTTCAATCCACTAACAAAGAGATATTCATTCTGAGGACCTTTATTTTTCTTGCTATAGACCTTTTCTTTTGAGCCAATGACAACTATGTTTGATTGTCAGTCTCTCTTGCCTTTGGAGCTAAGACTCATTTCTACTATTGTTGGATACTGGTTACATTTGTACATGACCTTCTGTCTCTCCCCTGCCATTCTCCTATTTTTTCTCCAGATCTCTTTTTAGCCTTTTTCATCAGTCATCCTCTTTTTCTGCTTTCTCTTCCAGATTGAAACCTCTGTTTAATTTTTAGGGCTCTCACATATCCGCCATTTGAAAGAGTGGCCATCTGTTCCCTGTACCATATTTTCTTCTCTTTCACACTTGCAGGATTCACCACTGTAAAATGTTTACCTTGCATGCCTCATGTATTCCTTGCCACAGGGAAAGATTAATATTTCTTTCTAACTTCTCCTTCCGCCCAAAACTTGAGCTGCTCCAGAAGGTGAATCAACCTCCCTCCTTTCTTCCATGTATGTTCGTTCCAGCACAGATTGTTTCCTCCTTTGTACTGTACATGTTTGCTGTTACCTCACTTCTACAGCACTCTTTCAAGGCAGTCGGCAGTGTATGTTTTTGCCATGTAATTTCTCTTCCTCTAGTGACTTACATACTTCCATTTTGACTGGTTGGGTCACCTATCTTATCTGACTAGTGTATTCTTCTATGTGTAGTTACAATTTTCATCTTTTTGATGTTTCCTCACATCATGTTCATTATCTCATGACTTTTCTTGCCTTTTGCCATCCTCTGGATAAAATTTTTCAGGTAGGGATTTTGATGACCTTTATGTCTCATTACTTTTACCAGATTGTGGTTTCATTTGCCTCTGGTTTTCATCTTCCTCCAATTGTTACTTTCCAATCCTCATAGAGGTTCTAAGTAGGTGAGTTCTTAATTATTTATTACATTTTCTTGCAGGTCTCACAACCACCTTATTGTTTCTGTAGATCTATATTATAAAAATGATGGAACCTGCCATGTGGCTAATATTGCCTCATGGGGAATACTTCTCTCTCTGGAAATCCACATCAAGTAGGGATAACAAAAAGCAATCATCCCAGCTGCCTCTTCTCACTGCCTGCTGTTTAGGTGGTTTTTTTCTGTAAGACTGCTTCGACAATATATATTACTTTCCAGGCCATACTTTAGGAAAATAAGGCAGCACCAGATATGATCCTTCCATCACACTTGTCTAGTGACTGCTGTATCTACTTGCACAGGCTATCAGTGTGAGACCTTATGCAGATATGATGATTCCTGTTTGGTTAAAGCACTTCTTCAGCATTCTTCCCCACAAAAGTACTTTTCTTCCATTTTCCTCCAGTGGAGAAAAGGGAGAGCCCTTGCTTCTCCAATCCAAGCCACTGGAAAGTTCCATTTGATGTCAGTGTAATCACACTGGTATGAAATTGAGTGGATACACATACCCCTTATTTGGAGGTGGGTCTGGGATGTTGCTTGGAAGTGTAGTACTTGCTGTCCTACTACATTACGAACTAAACCCTTCCATGTTGTTATGCCTGCTGGATAGGTCTTGCATTTTTCTCGAGATGCAAGTGTAGGATAATTTTTCCATGCATCTGCTTATTTTGGTAAGTATTTCTCCATTACTGTATGGCATGACTTCTTCCCTTAGCCATACTACACACTAATGCTTTGCCAACCAGCTGAGAGAGAGTGGCCTGTTGAGCAATTTTAAATTCTTCCCACCTATATGACGCTTTAGCACCAAACGTAAAATTATTTTCACTGTACCTTTTTTTTTCTACCAACTTTATTGGGTGAAGAGAGTTCCTTGCATGAGAAGGATGAGGGCTTCTTACCAAGTGATGCAACACTAGGTCTCCCATCCTTCCTTCTCACTTTCCATGTATACACCTGGAAAAAAGTCAAGCACCCCCGTGTTTTTTCAA